GTTGGGCCAGGAGTGGGGAGATCCAGATTCAAATCCTTACTCAGCTATAGAAACTTAATTGCTGAAATTTATCCAGCCATTATTTTTAAGTTTACCCTACCTCATAGGTTTCTTCTTATGGTAAAGAATTACTGAAGGAAGTATTATGCACATTGCCCCAAACTCCTGAAGGGGAGACATGATGTAAATTAAAACAACAACAACAACAATAATTTTGCTATATTCTGTGATATGTGAAGGAGTGGGCTGCATATACAGATATTCCCCAACTCTGTCATTCCAATTAGCTAAAGAACGACATATTATTATGAAATTCACTCTCATAAGGATTTATTGAAACTGTTTCACCCAATTAAAAGTAATTAGTATCTTAGGGTAATGGATTGGATTATTGATGCCCAAGGGTATAATCTTGGAAAATGCTGCTTATGTCACTGAGGGTTAGGTCAGAGTTCCCCCACCTTCCTGGGTTGATGGCCCAGAGCAGGGGAACGGGGAAAGAGGGAATGATTTTGTGGGAGGGACAAGTGCATGCACGCATGAGTGCCCATGATGTTCATGGCAATGCTCGTGTGAATGGGGCAAGCACCTGTGATGAGGCTTGCACGAGGGGTCATGAGTCTCTGTTACAACGCTCACGCCAGTGTGCCATGTCCTCATGCAGCCCCATGGCGATTAGCCCACAGCCTTGTAGTGGGCTGTGGATCACAGGATGGAGACCCCTGGGTTAGGTGATATTTCTCCCTAAAGTCCATTTGAAATAAATGGTCACTGTTAGCAGCAATGCCTGATGAATTACAAACTCACCACATTACTTGATTTTCTGTACAGTACTTACCAGTACACTTCAATATATTGGCAAATTCATTTTTAATGTCTATTGCTGAATATATTTGTGAAAAACCCATTACAGGTAGTCCTCACTTAGCCATCTTAATTGGGACAGGCAATTCCAAGACTAAGTGAATGGTCATTAAGTGAAATATCACGACTATATGGCTAAGCACAGCAATTCTAGCAATCTCAGTTGATGTCACTGAGTGAATCCCACACGGTCATTAGGCGAGGGCCCACCTGGATCCAAGCCATTCTTGGAAGAAAGTAAAGAACTACTGCAACTCCCTTCACCCACCTATCTTGCCCCGAACTCTTCCCTTTTGGCTGTCTGGCTTCATGCTGCTGTCTTGCCTGCTGTTGTGATTGCCACATCGTGTAGCACTACCAGCTGAGCCTTCTTTTCTGCTGCCTTCTTTCACATGTTTGCTAGTCCTTTTTTCTTTTCTTGGCTTTGTGTGCTGGCCAGAACTTTCTATCATGCTCGCCTTCTTTTGCACTAGCAGGAAGATCCCAGTTCTTAGTTGTGTACAATGCACACTCGCCTGAGTGTGGCTCTGAGCTACAACTCTGTAGGATATTTTCACAGTGTCTACTCTGTGCGTAGCCAAGGTGGTGAACCCAGCAGAGGAGTGGCAAGCAAAGATGACGGTCAGTTAGGGATGTGTGTATGTGTGGCAACAGCAAGACGGGTGACTGTAAATGCAAGTGGGCCTCAAATATGGCCGTGGGGTGCGCTGCAATATGGCCGTGGGGGGCGCTGCCAGGACTTTGAAGAACAGTCATAAATTCATGTTTTCAGTACCATCGTAATTTCCATCAGTGGTTAAATGAATAGACATTTATGAAGGACCACCTATATTTACTCCTGCTAGGTCAATAATTGTTATTGGCTATATAACATCTAAAGGCAGCATCTACAAAATGAATTTCATAACTGTAGCAAAATATTCCTACCTCTGCTATTTGAACTGCTTCTGCTTTGTGAGGCAGAAGATCTGGAAGAAGACCTTGAAGACGAGGATGTAGAAGAATTAGAAGATGTAGAGGAAGAGATGGAGGAGGATCTGCTTCTGCTTCGCTTCCGTTTCCTTTTACTTTCCTCTAAGGAAACAAAAAGAACAGGATTACTGAGTAGGGTTTCCCTTTTTACATATTGAGTAGCATTAGTGTTAGATTCTCCTTTAAATGGTTGACAGCTATCTTTAGTATTGAATGACTGAAACATAAAGTAATAGTTAAATAAAAAATAAACAAATAAATACATTGATCTATTTAGTATAGTCTGCCTTTTCTCATTTAGAATACAAGCAAAGAATAGTGATTGATATACAATATATCTAGATCCTAATTTTTTAAAAATATGTTATTACACTTTAATCACTCATTAATTATAGGCAACACATGGTGAATTAAAACATTAAAACAAATAAGAATACACACCTTTATATATTAGGATTAGTAATAGTGACCTGATTTAGGGAAAATATTAGCAGATAATTTCTCCCCCCTTCTTTTTATATAATAGAATATAAGTAACAATTTGATGGGAAAGACTAGAGGGTGAAAGATGGTATTACCATGTACATTTATATCACAATTGGCATTAAAATGGAATATTGAAATATTGAATAATTGCCTTAAAAATCATGTATATCAATTCTAGGATTATACAAGTTTGATTAATATGAAAATTATTACAATTATCATTTTTGATGTTTGTATAAAAATGAATTATACCCATGGGCTCCACTGTTCATGTATTGATACTGATGTATATTTAAAAATAAAAAAATCAATTTTAAAAAACATTAAAACAAATAAAAGGAAAACAGTAACGCCAATAGTAAAAGCAATATTACTACCTTATCTGAACCAGACCAAGTTAGCTTCAGCAAGACAAGTACTTCCAGACAATAATTGTCTGGCAAACATCAATATTACTTCATCTTACAATCAGTTTTACATTTAAAATAAATTAAGCTTATGTTTGAATGCCAGAGGTTTGAAAATAGAAAATGGGAAATTATCAAATTTGGCAGGTTTTTTTTTTAAAAATAATAATACTAAAAGTTCCATCTGTAGTGTTTAGCTTGTTAAAATTCTAATATATTTATTGACAGTACTGTTACAAGGACAACAATCATTCTTACCTCTGACTTTTGTTTTCTCTTGTGATGTTGCACACCGCATCTCATCTTTTGTTTCATGGTGGTCATCCATATCTGTGAGACATTATATAAATCATATAATCACACAGTTGCAAATATTATTTTTCCTAAAGAAATGAAAATGACCTGTTAACTTCCACTGCCCATTTCTAATACCAATACACTCTGTTACTGAATTATGATCTGCAGAGCTTCCTTAAAAGGCAGTTTCAACATAACACTTGTAGGAAGCATCAAATTCTTATGTAACCACACTAATCATTCTAACAGACCATCAATGCACTTGCTTGTGGTCCTCACTCCACGCTGCTTTAAATTTATGACTATCTTTTCATAGTACAGTAAATCAGAAGCTAACCAATTACATTTTAGGCTATACATACACAATTTGATTAATTTACAATTTAGTGTGTCCTGAGAACTCAAAAACTGGATTAATGAAGTAACCCAGTTACACATATGCACATGTAATATAATTCTTCGAATTGATAATCAACTTCATAGGCTTCTTTATAGGATAAATCTGCTATCATAATAAAATATGCAATTTAAGGAGAAGGCTTCTGAAAAGTGGCTTCGTATTGCATAAGGCAATATGCATACGGCATAAGGCAATTTGGCATGAATCTTTAATACAGAATTTATAAAAATTCACAGTAGCACAAATTAAATGGCCCTTAATATACACTTCAGTCCCAATTTTGGGAAGTTATACTGCACATAAGCCAAATACTTATAGATTAACTCTACAACTTTTACCAGATGTACATTGGCTGTCTATACTTAACATGTTTTATCTCACAATGGTTTTGTTACTACTGTAATTTGTTAAGTTCACAAAACAAAAGTGGTTGAAATTACATGAGATCAAACCATAAACTAATCAATCACATTAATGAATTGAGTTCTGGGAACTTATTTCGATGCCAGGTACCTCCAACAGCCATATCAATCTATCATAGCAAACTAAGAACCCTAAGCCTATTCCTTAAGGGCTAAGACATAAAGGCTCCAGAGATGCAACATTCATTAAGTGTTAACTTAATTCATTAATTTCATTAATTAATTTAATTAATTAAAATTAATTAAAACATTCATTAATCAGTCAATCGATTAATCAATCAATCAGTATATATGCTACTTTATGAACATTTTGTATTACATTTTATGAAGAATCGCCTATAGAAATGTTCAGTTAAACATTAAATAAAATAAAGACACATTATACAAAAATTACGATTTTGTCAGGAGATTGCTGATTGAAATCAGAAAATTCACTAAACAATAAATTAACCAATTTTAGTTGAACAGTGTAGAAACCCAGTCTGTATATGTCATTATGCTTCACTGTGTCACGTGAAGGCACAAAATGATGCAGCAAACCCCAATATATGCAAGCAAAGCAAGCACCAAATATTTTTCTAAATAGCAAATGACAACCCGTTTATAATGTAATAAATCTCTTTTAGGTATTATGAATTCCGCCGTTTTTCCTTTCTTTTCTTTTAAAGGAAAAAAAAATTATCCCCAATGCAGGGAATCCATGGAAAAGTCGATTATATCTATCCTTTATTTGTAAAAGGAGAAACTATGACTGTAATCTCTCTCTTCGATAACAAGCTACATGGCAAATATCAGTGCGGTCGTGGCAAACGCGGCGAATTCATTCCACACGGGGCGTCTTTAAAGGCTCCGGATGACAGTAGACGCTTGTGCGATCTCTCTCTCCCCACCCAAGACCCCAACCCAGACTTTTTTTCCCTCGCAACCAGAGACTCGGGGGTTTATTTGCACTCCCGTCGCCGTTTCAATCAGGAAGACGGTGCTCGTAAATACTTAGGATTAGGATTGCGAATGATGCATTACGCGTCCTCAGAACTAGGCAATAGCACCGAGAGTCGCACGAACTTGGTCCAACCATCCAGAGAAGCCCCCCTACAACTTCACCTCCGTCTGCTCTCAGGAGGGGTTTCTGGCAGACAGCGGAAGCGAACGCGGAGGCGGCGGCGATTTACGAAAAACAGCCGCTGCGGCCCCGTGATCTCCAGGAACCCGGAACCACAATGTTGAAGCTCTGTAGCCTGTCGGGACCAGGCCGGCGCCCACATCCCGGAAATGATTGTAAGCAAATACCATGTGGCTTCGCTTCCCGCCGCCTCTTGGCAGTTTCGAAGGAAGCGCATAAGCCGAGAAGGGAGCGGGGAGTGGGAGGCTTTTGCGTCAGTCCTAAACCGCTTGGACTGCGCTTGAAGGAGGTGGCGGAGCACAAACTATTGTCACTTGCCGTCAACCTTTTAGGCTCGCTTATGAATAGTAGGGTTCAGTGTCTTATGAATTCAGGAAACGGTGGTTGAGTAAACCATAGTTAAGCTAGCAATAAGTCCGGGGGCAATGGGATTACAAGCACTGCATTGCCATCTCTTGCAGGGTTTGGCATAAAAAACTCGGTTCCGTGTTTTAGCACAAGGTTTGCGCAAATAATCTTCAAATTCGTGATTGTGCATGGGATGTGATCTCCGATTTGCAATAAATGGATTCTAGAGAAAATCGTTGCGGTTCCGTAACTTGAAGGCACTAAAAATTAATGGATGTGCTACTGTAAATGGATTGTTCTTGCAGGCAAAAATCATCTAAATTGGGACAATAGTTTCAAATGGGTTCCATTTAAAAATTGGAATGATGTGTGCATTAAATCTGTACTTTTGAATTGGGCTATGAAAAATATGGTTTATGAAGGATCTGGCTTGGAGGAACAGATTAAAAAATAATGAAACCTGAAGGCACCAGAAAATGTAATTTTTCCATTCTTCGTAGTTGTTAATTGAGTTTGGCTTCAAATGATGCAGAGAATAGATAATATACAGTCAGGTCCAGAAATATTGGGACATTGACACAATTCTAACATCTTTGACTCTATACACCACCACAATGGAGTTGGAATGAAACAAACACAATATGCTTTAACTGCAGACTGTCAGCTTTCATTTGAGAGTATGTACATCCAATTCAGGTGAACGGTGTAGGATTTACAGGAGTTTGCATATGTGCCTCCCACTTGTTAAGGGACCAAAGGTAATGGGACAATTGGCTTCTCAGCTGTTCCATGGCCAGGTGTGTGATATTTCCTCATTACCCCAATTACAATGTGCAGATAAAAGGCCCAGAGTTCATTTCAAGTGTGCTATTTGCATTTGGAATCTGTTGCTGTCAACACTCAATATGAGATCCAAAGAGCTGTCACTATCAGTGAAGCAAGCCATCATTAGGCTGAAGAAACAAAACAAACTCATCAGAGAGATAACAAGAACATTAGGCGTGGCCAAACCAACTGTTTGGAACATTCTCAAAAAGAAGGAACGCACCGGTGAGCTCAGCAACACCAAAAGACCCGGGAAACCACGGAAAACAACTGTGGTGGATAATCGAAGAGTTCTTTCCCTGGTGAAGAAAACACCCTTCACAACAGTTGGCCAGATCAAGAACACTCTCCATGTGTGTCAAAGTCAACAATCAAGAGAAGACTTCACCAGAACGAATACAGAGGGTTCACCACAAGATGTAAACCATTGGTGAGCCTCAAAAACAGGAAGGCCAGATTAGAGTTTGCCAAACAACATCTAACAAAGCCTTCACAGTTCTGGAACAAGATCCTATGGACAGATGAGACCAAAATCAACTTGTACCAGAGTGATGGGAAGAGTATGGAGAAGGAAAGGAACTGCTCATGATCCTAAGCATGCCACCTCATCAGTGAAGCATGGTGGTGGTAGTGTCATGGCGTGGGCATGTATGGCTGCCAATGGAACTGGTTCTCTTGTATTTATTGATGATGTGACTGCTGACAAAAGCAGCAGGATGAATTCTGAAGTGTTTCGGGAAATATTATCTGCTCACATTCAGCCAAATGCTGCAGAACTCATTGGACGGCGCTTCACAGTGCAGATGGACAATGACCCAAAGCATACTGCAAAAGCAACCAAAGAGTTTTTGAAGGGACAGAAGTGGAATGTTATGCAATGGCCAAGTCAATCACCTGACCTGAATCCAATTGAGCATGCATTTCACTTGCTGAAGACAAAACTGAAGAGAAAATGCCCCAAGAACAAGCAGGAACTGAAGACAGTTGCAATAGAGGCCTGGCAGAGCATCACCAGGGATGAAACCCAGCGTCTGGTGATGTCTATGCGTTCCAGACTTCAGGCTGTATTGACTGCAAAGGATTTGCAACCAAATATTAAGAAGGGACAGTTTGATTTATGATTAGTATTCTGTCCCATTACCTTTGGTCCCTTAACAAGTGGGAGGCACATATGCAAACTAAGTCCTACACCGTTCACCTGAGTTGGATGTACATACCCTCAAATGAAAGCTGACAGTCTGCAGTTAAAGCACATTGTATTTGTTTCATTCCAACTCCATTGTGGTGGTGTATAGAGTCAAAGATGTTAGAATTGTGTCGATGCCCCAATATTTCTGGACCTGACTGTAGAGTAACTATAGAGTATTTGATTTATTTCAAAAGGATCATTTTGTTAATAATTGTTAACAGAATGTGATGGATTGGAGGTATGCTGTTGCACTGAGAAGCAGTGGCACATCATTGAGAGACATGAAGAATCAGGTTGAGCTCAGATTGTCCTGGAGAATATTTATGTCAGGGGTCCTCAAACTTTTTAAACAGGGGGCCAATTCACAGTCTCTCAGACTGTTGGGGGGCTGGATCAGCTGGGAGGGCATGGCTAGGGGGTCATGCGAATAGGTGTGCGTGGCTAGGTCATGTGACTGGGTGGGCATGACCAATTTAACAGTCCATTGAACAACACACAAATTAAACTTTAATTTGTTTTGCTCCTGGGGGTGTTTTATTTGCTTTTGTTTGCATGTTGCTCTTTTGGTTGCCTTTTCTTTTTACTAGATTGTTTTTTCAGTTGTTTAGGAGTCTAGTGGTCCACTTCAGGAAACTTAGTTTTGTAGCAATTCTTCTCAGCCCCAAGGAGCTTGAGAAATCTCCCTCGGTCTCTATCTCTTTCTCTCTCTTTCCTTCTCTCTCTCCCTCATTTTCTTTTTTCTCTCTCTTTCTCTCTCTCTGTCTCTCTTTGTTTCTCTCCCTCTCTCTCGCTCTCCCTTTCTCCTTCTCTCTCCCTTTTTCTTTTTCTTTTCCTCTTTCCTTCTCTTCCTCCCTCCTCTTTCTGTCTCTCTCTCGCTCTCTCTTTCTCCCTCTCTCTTGCTCTATCTTGTGGAGGCGGGGAAAGTGAAAAATGGGCCGTTTTTGCCTGATTTTTTTGCCTTTTCACTCCTCCCCCCACAAGCATTCTGCAGCCTAAAACCAGGCAAAAACAGCTCGTTTTTTGGCCAAAAATGGCCCATTATTGCTTGTTTTTTGCCTCCTTTCACTCTGCCTCACCTCCATAAGCATTCTGCAGGCTAAAACCAGGCAAAAATGGCTCATTTTTTGGCCAAAAACAGGCCTGGTTTTTTTTTTTTGTTGCTCTTTCACCCCCACCCCCACCCCCCACCTCCACAAGCATTCTGCAGGCTAAAATGTTGTTGAGCTTACCTTTTGGTTCCAGCCCGCAGGTCTCCCGAAGGCAAGTTCTGCACTCTGCTGAAGGGTGGGTGAGGTGATGTGGGTGGGGCATCCTCATGGTGCTCTGCGGGCCAGATTAATTGCTTCAGCGGACCGCATGCAGACCGCAGGCCGTAGTTTGAGGACACATGATCTATGTGGTCATAAGAGTCAACACTGACTTGCCAAAACATAATCAACCATTTAAAGCTTTCTCAGTTATTAAACTGAAACAGTAATAGAGCATAATAATAATCACAATATCAAAATTTGCTGGATATTCATGATTCACTGAACCATTAACATGTTTTATTAAGACAAAATTTTAAAAGTACAAAAATACAACAGTCTTTCAAAACTGTACAAAAAACAGCTTGGTAGACCACAGAACAGCTTTCACAGGTTTGAAAGAATTCAGAGAGCAATAAAAGTGTTCACTCTAATGTTTTATAATGGGCATTCTCATAATTCCTCAAGATCAGTCAAATCTACCATTACTTTCAGAAAGAGTGTATCATCTTTGATGTAGGTATTTTTTGCATTTTCCAACTTAGAGTGGGCAACAAACCGTGGACACCCAGAAGCCACATTCATTTCTCCTTCTGGCCTTTTGAAGCTGCTGCTGTTAGGATCAGCTTTGAAAGTTTCACATATATGTTTTTTCTTTCCACTTTGGTCCAAAAGCATAAGTGTAACCTTTTGCTTGAAAGGCCATGATAATAATGAATCAAATTCTCCTCTCATCACTACAAAATACAACGAAACATGAGTTCCCCGTCCTGAGCCATCTCCATTTAAATATGCTCTGGCAGACATTCTATATCCACAGTGACTGGTATAAAAAGGTTGACTAAATAAAGAGAGGGTGTGCCCTTCTATAGCTTCTTTCTTCTTAATTTTATAGTCCATAATTTTCCAGATCAATTTTCCATTGTAACTTGCTCCTTCCAAAATTTTGAACCGTTCTTCATTTTTGTTAAGTTGTGTCCCATGCATTCTGAAGACAGCATCTTGTTGGGTAGCCAAGTCTTCTAAAACAACTAGAGGAGTAAGAGAGGTACATTTCAGGATTTGCTTTTTGTGGCTTTACAATTTTTTACAATTTTTTGTGGCTATACAATTTTCTGTATATATAATATTTGCTTTTTTTGAGACCCAATCTATTTCTCTATTGATTGAAACCAATTTTGTACTTAAAATTGGTAGTAAGTTAGCTTGTAATTTTTAATTACATATGGATATGACTGCTCTGCAACTTAAAATTGGTCCCCCCTGAAAAAGTCGTAGAGTACAATCCCATATTTAGTGAAAAAAATCAGTAAACTCAAATGCAGGATTATCAGATTTTACTAAACCAAAGTTTACTTAATTGTATTTATTGAATAAGCTATATTGTGTTAGCCATCTGGAGTCACAGATAGAAGCAAGATGAGTGGTCATACAAATTGTTTAAATAAACAAAAAAAAAAAATGGCCTTATGGGAAATGGTAAACTGTGGGTTGAATCTGCAGTGATTGGATTCAAATAACACACAAATAACGAACAAACCAAAGCAATGTTTTCACTCCAGAGGAAACATGTTGAAAGCAGATGGTCAGTAGGCCACCAACTAGCCATGACAACTCAGAGTGGTTACAATTAGTGTTTCCACCACACAGAGGAAAGCAAGGAGGAATGATCAACGGGGAAGACATTAGGGGGTCTTTAGTGCAGGAACTGAAAAATGATGTAATTATTACTACCCTGTTGCAAAGGACACCAAGAAAAGAAGTGCTGCTCTTAGTCACAAGTTATTTGTTCCTGCTATTTATTCGCTCTCTCTCCCCCCACCTCACAAACACACATATCCTACATGGAAATTGAGTGGGGATAGAGTAGGGTGTCTTCTTTTATTAGCTGTCTATCCCAAATCTCTATAGGAGCTCAAGGGGAATATCTAGCAGTTTTTCTCATAACAAACCTATTGATTCGGTTGGACTGATCCCAAACATGTGCATTTAAGTGAATTAGTATATAGTTTAACTGATATACAAATTATTGTAAAGAAGATGGCACAACCCATTTTGGCTTTGATTGAAGATGTACAAAAGTGGATCCCTCATCTATAGACAGATCAATATTACACAATCAGACAACAAAAACTGAAGGAATACTTCAAGAACTGGGAATTGTCCTTGACAAAAGCAAAAGTTTGAGAACTGTTATCTGCATGACCATCTTTACTGACTTCTACTTGAGGTTGCCAAGTAAATCCAATAATACCTAGACGTTGATCATATGATTCAAGAAGAGCAACTTTCTGCTTTAGGTTATCAATGGTGTCCAGTAGTGTTCTCAGGTCCAGTTTGCTTTGCTGCTGATTTGTCTTTTGTACCAGCTGTCTTACTTGTGTTTCCAGGAAGGTATTTTTATCAATGTGAATGGCCAAAGTCTTCAGTTGCATTATTGATGGATGATAAGAGGAAGAAAACAATTTTAAAATAAAATGAAAATACAGCAACTAGCATTATTTAATAGCTTTATTAAACCTTCAATGAATCTATTAGGAACAAAATTTCTAACTTTTGGAATCATTCCAAGTAGTCAACATTTTCCACAAGCTATGTTCAAAATGTTAACTACTTGAAAATAAAAATTCTCTACACCTCAGAAGGAGAGAATGTAATAGAAATCCTACTTGTGTTAGTATTCTGCATAATAAAATTCAAGATAGTGAAAGTGTAGCGTTCCATACCTGAACTCTTAACAGATAGCGTAGTGATCTATGAATGTAATATATATGAGCTGAGTAGGTAGAAGTGTTAAATTCCAACTGCTCTAACTGTTGTGCCCTCTACAATAGCACTGTGACATGATAACAAGACTTCTTTCATACAACTCTTTTTGGAGGCTTAAGAAAATTGAGCCTCCAGCCTTTTCCTTCCTCCTTATTTTTTTGCTAAAGCAGTTCCTTGGGGATGCAGGCAATTGTTTATCTAGTATTTGGTTCATTTTTGAAATTGTGACATTCCATAGAGGAATGAGATGCATAATTACTATTTTTTATTTATGACACAAGCTTCAGACTTATATCAAGGACAATCTCATTTAATGACATGACTAGGACATCTGAGCCTGATAAAAAAACCCACAAATTTGAAAAAAGTATATTAATAAAGCATTATTAACATTAAAAACTATTCAATGTTTTCAGAATGTAAATATGTAATAATAACTAAACAAATTTTAAAAAACTCATGCATTTAGCAAAGCTAAAATCTCACAGATTTTCACTGATTTTCTATTGAGATGAGGAAGGTACTAGGAAAGGAGAATTATTTTACCTGAGTGCTTGCCAGCAGGTTTCTGTTTTTGCAAAATAGCTGAGATAATTGTCTGAATTCTCTCTCACAATTTTTAATCATATCTGTCAGTTGCAAGATTTCTCTCTCTTTATATTTAAGGCTCTTATAAAGGTCAGAAATCTGCAAAATGAAAGATTAAAATTGTTAGTGCAAGCAATTAAAAACAGTTTTCTCACATGTATACATACATACACACAAACAAACGGAGCAACACTACAGCCTAAAGCAGGGGTTCTCAAACTTTTTAAACGGGGCCAATTCATGGTCCCTCAGACTGTTGGGGGACTGGACTGGCTGGGTGGGTGGACATGGCTAGGTGGGCATGTGACTGGGTTGGCATGGCCAATTTAACAGTCCATTAAACAATGCACACAAATTAAATTGGTTTTGCATGTTGCTCTTTTGGTTGACTTTTCTTTTTACTAGTTTTTTCAGTTGTTTAGGATTCTAGTGGTCCACTTCAGGAAACTTAGTTTTGCAGCAATTCTTCTCAGTCCCAAGGAGCTTACAATCAACAAGTCTGTCTCTCTCTCTCTGTCTCTCTCTCCCTCCCTCTCTATCTCTCTCTTTCCTCTCTCGCTCTGTCTCTTTCTTTCCCCCCCCTCTCTTTCTATCTCTCTTTCTGTCTATCTATCTGGAGGTAAAAAATGGGATGCATGGACGCCCCCGGAAGCCTCTGCGCCCCGTTTTTGGCCTACAGAGTGCTACTGGGGGTGGGGGAGGCCAACAATGGGGCTGTTTCTGGCCTCCTGGGATATTCCCGCACTCCATTTTTCACCTCCCCCGCCTCCATAAGCATTCTGCAGGCCAAAAATGGACCCATTTTTGGAGAAAAACAGGCTAAAACGGGCACGTTTTTGGCCTCCCGAGATGTCTGCATGCCCAGTTTTTCACCTCCCCCGTTTCCAGAAGCATTCTGCAGGCCAAAAACGGGCTGTTGGGTCTGTTGGCTGTATCAAACAACAAACAAGGAATCTTCAACTTAAGAGTGTTTGCTTAGCTAGTATTCAAAGTTACGATGGACCTCAGAAAAGATACTTATCACATCTCATGACTTGCTTTATGACTTTCATGACTTAACAACTGTAATTGCCAGACTCAATTACACTTGTAAGTGGAGGACTACCTGTAATTCACATCTTTCTAGAAAAATTCACCTGGGAGAGTCGTAACATCCCCTATGTTCTATTTTTGACTCAAACAGGACATTTCACATTCTTGTATTTATGTGCCCTCCATTCTTACATTTTCCTGAATAGAATTATGAGCATCTTATCAAACTTAAGCCACACCTTGCAGCTTTCTAAATCGGTAATAGTTTCCTATATTGCTAACTGCCTAGCAATGTTTCTGGAACAAAATGTCTGGAAAAAGGAGTGCATTTGGATCCTGAGTCAGAAGATACTCAGACCGTTCAATTACTATTCAAGGATATAACTTCCCACTTTCATGTACTGCTGACTACTTTAATTTCCAGTCACATCTTGGAAAACTATATTGTCCAAAATATTTAATTAAAAAAAGGTTTTCTAATTGTATGCTACAAGTACAGTAATTTTTAATGAACAGAAAACTGAAAATAGTTAATATAGATCGGAAGAATAAGGGGAATTCAGAAGTAGGAATCCCATGAATGCCCATCTGCCAAGTTGTGTAAGTGTCATAATTTCTGCATTGTAAGAGGAATTGAAATGAATATGTATTGTTATGGCACACTTTTAAAAATCATTGCTAAAAATCATTCTGGAAATTGCATCTTTTGACATGTCAGAAGTAACTCAAACCCTGATGGTACTTAAAAAAAAAAATACAAAAAATTTCATCCACTGGAACACATTAAGACTACTTCATTTTGCCAACAGTATCTATGTCCATCCTTTGGCCAAGGGAGAGCCTTGAAAATTCTTTGATGTCAATGTCAGTTTTGTGTTACATGCTTCTGAGGAAACACGATGCAATCAGCCTACAGAAATTCAATAGTTAGGTCTAATTAGTAGCAAAATGGGAAACCGCTAAAATGTCCCAAGTAAGATAAAAAGAGAAAGTTAAATGCTGACGCACTAAAGCAAATTTACACATTGATGATGGTACTCCATGAGATGTGAAGTCATTTTTCAAACCTCATTCTACATCTATTCCCAAAACAGCTTTCATTTTTAAAAACAACTTTTGGGAATTTACAAGAATGTACTCTTTACCTGATCTTCCAGCTTTGAGTTCTTATCTACAATGTGTAGCATATGTTCTCTCAAGAAGTTATCCTCGTGTTCTAAAAGCTTGCTTCTTTTAATCTAAAAAAAAAAAATAGATGTATAAGTTATATCAAATGTAATAGGTAATCGAGAAAGCACCATGATTAGTACATTTTTCTTCTTCACATGGCTTTAAAATAATTAGGCTATTGGGGATATCTTCACTATAGCTCAAACTTCAAAGAGGACTGAAAAATATTCACTGATTAACTGGTTCCATTTTGTGTTTTGGAAAGTCTGCTTCTACTGTAGTACCAATTATGTCTGTCTTATTTGTGCAATACCTTTTTAGGACAGCCACACATTTTATATGGACAATCAATTTCCATTTCAGGGCATACCAAAACATGATCTTCTGCCTGTAAAAATCACAGATTAAGGTAGGTATTAATGAAATATTTTGGTAGGAGAATGAGGCTTAATAAGCATAAGTTTTACCAACATTCTATAAAAACTTTGGTAAAAATTAGACAACTTCTTAGAAATAAGGAAATTGTCTAATGATCATTTACAATTTCAATAATAATTTTAATGGTATGTGATATGTTTATGGAAATATAGAATTACTTTGCCAAGATTAAATACAGTTCTTTGCATACCAGATAAAGATTAGCAAAAGTAGGCATAGCTTGTTATTAAAATATTGTATTATATTTTAATTTTTTTTTAATGAACCAAAAATAATACTGTACCTCTTTCATCAGAATCATCTGCATGCAGCCATAGGGACAAATCCAGGGATAATCTGGACAATCTACTTCTTCATGGATCTGAAAATATATTGGAAGATGGTGATGATGACAGTTAACAAGCACAACAAAGAGATTTGTCAGTTAGTGAAAACAGGCAGCATACAAATGATTGTAAATAAATGTTTATTTACCACTGCTCATTTAAAGTCCTAATAGAATCAATTACAGGCACAGTCCACAAGGACAGTCCTTAGGGAGATTACTGACATTATCGGAAGTAATACAGTTGAATAACTACTTTTTTCAAAATGTTCTGCTCCAGTTCCGGATTTCCAAAGATATTTACACACATCAGCGGTCCTTATCAAATTTAATAAGTAGCAAGAATAAACAAGACCGGCAAAGGTTGGCAACCAGCCCAGAAAATAAGATATGATAAATCAAAATACTCTGATAATCAATACGAGTTGTTTCCAGCAAGAAAGTACTAGCTGTGTGCAACTTAAATAGGCTAAGGGAGTGGCCAATTATCCTCAAGCCCTACTCTTGAGTAGACCTCCTCCTCCTGAGTAGCCACTCCTGCCTTTTGGCAACCCTGCATGCTTGAGCATTGAGGAGAGGCTTCTCCACTTCGCTCTCTCCACTTGAAGGAACCTCTGGAGGTTCTGAAGGCCCTGGCTGGGTCTCTGCCTCTGGCACCACATCCTCTTCAGCCTCCTCGCTGTCCAACACGAGTGCTGGCTGCGCAGGCTGCTGGCGCGACACCACACCAGCCTCCTCTTCGTCGGGATCAGCCACGATTCGCGCAGGCCGTTGGCGGGCCACAACACAAAAGTTCTATCTGTGTTTATTGAACTTGCCTAATGGACAATATCAGAATGCGGCAATGTGGAGTCTCTGTTCATGCTCCAGCTAATCAGCTATGTCTTCTACCTAGATATTCCATTTCCTTCCCTCCCAAATATAGTTAGCATATAATGGTGACTGGGTGTGTGCAAATTCCCTCCCACCCTGCTCAAACACCTGCACAACTACAACACACCGCTAGTTTGGTGGTGCATTTTGGCTATATAAAAATAAGCTGTCAAGAGAATTGATATCACAATTAATATATTAAAGATAGACAATTTAAAACTGCTAATCTTTCATCATTATATTACTGTAATGGTCTGTGAGAATAAACTTGGGGAGAGGAGGAGGAGGAAGAGCTGCAATAGTTAGACAAGTCAGTAGTTAAACAAGAGCTATCTCAGCTCACTGAAGGAATGAACGTGTGGGAAGTGACTCAGAAGGGACACTCAATAGTTCTCTGGAAAATAACAGCAAGGAAGGGAAGAAGAGGTTTCAGATTTGCAAAATTGGTATCAGCCTTCAAGATACCTCATAAAAGAAACCAAAACTCTGATTACTTAACACTACCTTTATCATAAGGTTAGACGTTTAAAAGCACTTCTGATCTTCCAGGCCTTTGCTTTCCAAAGAACTAGGGAGGATCCATTATAGTTACTGGTTTCTCTTGCTTTTATTTTCCTCCATTTTCTGCTGTGCTTAAGCAGAAGAGAATGGTCCTTATTTGAAAATATGTTGAAACAACTAGCAATAAACTAATTGGTTATAAATAGAAAACTGGTATCTGTTTCTAGTTATTTTAGTTTTTTAGAAATTACTTCATAAAAGTTGCAGAGTTTGTATTCCTCTTGTCGATTGGAAAAAAACCAAGCATATGTTACCAATGTTACTCTCCCAGCCTGAAGCTACTGTAAATGACAATGATTTGATACTTAAGAAACACCAATACAAAAACATTTCAGGAAATCTCTGAGAAAGTTATGGCAACATGAACTACTCACTGCAGTTCTAATAAGTTCTGATACAGAAATGATAGCATCTCACTTTAGCAGCCAATGAATTTCAACTAGTGTCCAAAATGCTTCTAATTTGCATTTTCAAAATTATGTGTTTTATAGATGATAGCATATTCCAGAGTGCCTTCATTATTTTCAAGACTGTGATAATTCATATGGGAGACTGTAATCTATAAACTTTCTCCAATATAGTATCTTCTGGATGTGTTCGTATATAATACATAGCATTATAAAAATAAAATTATAGTGTAATTTAAAATACATAATTTAAAACATTTTAGCTGAATCTAACCTTTAAATTAATTGATATCACAGGCTGTTTACAGTACTGGCACTGTTCTTTTCTAAAGTTACATTGCTGAATAAGGTGTTCTTTTAAATCCTTCAGAACAATTTTTTCATGACAGCCTTCATTAGTACACTGCACAGTTTCAAACAAACACTGTTGCAGGTGATCCTGTAAATAGAAAAGTAGAATGTGTTGTAGATTTTACCCTCATTAGACAGATTGCTATACTACACAGAGAAAGCAGCTATATACTCTAAGTTTCTACTTACAAACTGTGACATAAATCCTTCTCCCTCCAAGCAAACATAAACCTCTTTTTTCTTGTCTCATTATCCTGTGAGTGATAACAGTTGTATTTGCTTGAAATATCAAAGTCAAAGAATAGAAACTTTTGAAGTTTTGACTAAAATAGCCCCAAAGTAAAATTATAACCACTTCCTAATCCGCAACAAAAGCATTTTGCATAGTTGGACCACTTCTTTTTAATTATTTTTTTGAGGAAGCTGTTCTCAGTATAGAACTGGTGGTACTTAATGCTGTAGACTTCTCCAGTTTATCGGTACCCTCATTAATCACCTTACTTCTTTTATATGCTGAGAAAGCTGTAACTGTTAGCACCAGGTTAAGCAAGCTTACTCCCTTGTGCAGAAAAGGCTTCCATTTATATATACCATATTTTCTACAGATATAAAACACTGTCATAAATTCAAAACAGACAGGAATTGCATGAATTTTGAAAGAACAATTTAGAATATGAACAGAATTAGAATCAGGAAAATAATCAGGCAGAAAATAGAAAATCTAACAACAACAAAAGCACAAAGGCATAAAAAGGGATTTTACAAGAATACCACTAATACCATTAGGTCTATCCATAAAAATATTTGAATACATTTAGAATTAAGAAATGAGTTGGGAAAATGATTATGCAGTGATTATGGAGTAAAGTGATTGTCCCTAAGCTACACATAAGTCTATACAATTGATGGGACAGCAATAATTATGCCTATACTGTCATATTTAGAAAGAGGCAGAGGAAGATATTCAGTCTTACAAACAATTTGGTCTAAGTGGTATTTATCAACTTCCTTTAAAAAAAAAGCAAAGTATTCAAAAATTCTCAGCGTATTGTCAGTTTTAAAAAAGAATTCAGGATCTTTTAAACTGTTCCACAGAACTCTAGGTTTCTGTGAGAACTTTAAGACATTCAATAAGAGATTAACTACAACAAAAAGTTCACTTGAATGCAGCTGATTTTCTATCACTAGAGTTCCTTCTCTTGATCAACAATTCTGGATTTTTTTTTTAATTTAAAAGGTTCTATATCCTGAAAAAGTTTGAAAACCCCTAGTACTATTCTATGTATTTTAGAGTTTTTTCATCATTTCAAATCTATGCGACTAAGAATAGTAGACATTGTTTTACTTCAACTTTTGCAAAAGAATTTTAAGTTAAATTCTGTTAAGCAAAACCGTATTCTGGCAAAAAAACAAAAAGACGACAATAGGAATGTGTGAAAATTCCTACATATGATCCCTTACAAGGGATTCTTGTAAGAATACAAGGATCCCTTAAGAACCTTTATTAGGACTGGTAACGTTAAAAATGTTCATATGCGACATTAATTTATAGTACATTCCAAGATAGCAACAATTGCTGACAACACCAAATTATTTAAAGGAAGGACAGGTTTCTCCTCGCCACTTTTCTTGATGCTTCTTTTACCTCAGCTTAACTTTTTTTTTTTCCTAAGCTAGAGAGGGCTTTATTCTAAGCAAAACTTTTGGTTGCAGCCACACATATTTGGGGCGGGGGTCTATGGGAAAAGATGATGCATTTCTTCATGCTAATGTCATGTTTATTTTTTAAATTTGGGGTAGGGAAACTGATGGGCCTCAGGGAAGATGTCCTGGGCAGCTAATTATACCTTCTCTTCCACCTGCAAAGTCAAAGGGGTTTCTGCATCCTGAAACTACTATAGAAGCCATGTGTTCCCAAACCAGATCCCTATTCTGTTTAGCATGTATGTCTTGCTCAAACCAACTGTGGGTAAAAACTAGACGGGACAGTTAAGTAGAGTGCTATTCTTAACCAGTATCTCACTGCATTTTATATATGCAGTATGTCACCTAGAGTCAGTGGGGAGCATAGCTGCTCATTTATAGAACAAAACAAAGGCATACTTAATAAATGGCATTAAGTTCCTGATTATCTCAATGGACAAACATCTAGCTCAATAGAATAGAATGATGTAGCTTAAACTTTCATTTTAGCATTAGCTAGATGGAAAGGGAGGGGTACACAGAGCAGATTTCTGAAAAAAATCTAGTTTTTGCATATTCTTAAACAATACATTTGGAAGAACTTGTTTAAGTATCAAACTAAACTTCTTTGTGCATCTTGAGAATAAATTTAAAAAATTGCAATGGATAGAGAAAGAACTGCAGTTTTCTGACATTTGTCATTTTCTTCAAAAAGATATTTGATAAAAAGGTGAAGAAAGATTGGTTTTCAGTTTCTAGAAGCATTTATTTTCAACTTTCTTGAAATTATAATACAGGAATACAAACCTGGTATCGCCCTAGACATAACTTTGCAGTGCATGCTGGTGAATTTTTACAAAATACTTGCAAATTGAGTACTTCTCTTTTGCAGCAATTATCTTTGAAAACCTTAAATTTAAAACAAAAAGTATGATTTTGATATACATACAAGCTAAAAAATAGTAATTCATGACATTCCTTTGCCTGTAAGACACAGCCTGGCAACTTTACTAAAATTAATTATTACATTTTATATATTATTTATGTGCATTTTATATAGATGATACTCTCTCTGACAACTAAAATATTATGTGAGGAATGAAAGAAATGGGAAAGAACATTACATTATTAAGATAAGATTTCCCATACCTGGAAATAATGCTAATTATAAGTCTCAATTCAAGCTTTCTATCATGTTTGAAAATACTACTTAGCAAGGATTATTTTCAAATTTTTGTATTTCTTTTTTAATTGGGGTTTAAATTTCTTTTACTTTGATTACTTATAATTTCCATTTAGCAGTAAAATAAAAAAACTCAATAAACAGATTGCCCCAAATAGCATGATACTGATTGTATGAATATGACTATAAGAATAAAGTCATATATACAATTTTTTCTTACCTCTTGAAGTTTTATTATTTCATTGTCTATAGGACATGTAGGTACTGTGTTTAAATCTCTATAAAAACAGAAACAAATTTTCTTTGGTTATAGACTTGAAACTTTTGTATTTATATTTTGTATTTATATTTGTATTTATTATTTTTATGTTGTTGGTGCATATAAATAGTAACATTTATAACATTTATTTTGCATTGTTAGTTTGCAATATATATTTCATGAGAATAGCTCTATATCCATATATCTATATCCTTACAAAATGAGGTGTTTCTCTAGTTTCAAAATGGTACTATGGGAAGTTCAAAGATACAGATAGCTTTCCACATGATCTGAGTGAAGTAAGATGAATATGAGTATGAGCTGTTTATTCAACAAAAAGAGGAAAGAAATGATGCAGGTGAGGCCAGTATTTCCAGACATGATTCTACACAGCTTTGCCCTCACATGTTCATTAATAACACCCTAATTAGCTAATGTCACTTTGAGATAACAGCTATCACCTACATGTCCATTTCATTCATAAAATATAACCAGAAGCTTCTGGATATTTCAGATAAAGAAAACAACAATCTTCTAATGAAAAACTAGTGGATCAAAATGAGACTTTTAACAATCAGATTGGAGTTTAAAAAAAAGTTATCAATTTTTTGTAAAGATATGACACCAAGCCACACTTGATTTAATCATTGTAATGCTTTTGTGTTCTTTAAATCACGTATGATTTCAAGTGCTGAAAAAAACAAAACTTCATGGGAAAATACAGCTTTTTAAGATCTTATGTTCAGAATATATAGGCCATTTCTCACTAGGGACTTTACCTTGTGCTTCTCACAGCAGTACCCAGCCAAGATATAAAATCTGCCCACATTTTACTTATTTTGGTACAGTGCTAGCTGTAAGTTACTGGGGAAAATTACTACAAATAGTAACCAGATAGCATTGAATATATCTGAAATTCATTTATCTTAGGGGCACTTACATACATAAGACTGCTGGAATTCTATAGCACCCCAGAAGAGCAAAATTAAATAAGCATCCTTTTATGGGTTACCCTTGCACATTCTATAAATTCACAAACTGTATAATTGTTATGAAGGAGACAGTGACAGCATTGATTTGCACAAATATTGTAAGAAAAAGAAGCAATTCATACCTCAAAGAAACAATGCAATGCTGGCAAAATCTATGTCCACATCCTGTCTGGTGTGGATTATGGAGGACTAGGTGACAGCGTGTACATTTGTATCGTTCATCTAAGATTTCCACAAACTGATAGTTGACATCAGGGTCAAATTCTAGAGAAACTGCATTTGAGGAGTTCTGTCGGACGTACAGATTTGGTAACTGGCCTGGAAGATCTTCAGAGGCCATGGACTTTAACTATGAATAAAATCATAAAGAGAAATATAATACTTAAGTAGTAATGTTACTTCTCCTTCTCTTTTTGTCTCAGCACTAAGAAATTTATCCAGATCCTTACCTTAATTTGCTAAGGAAAATAAAATGTTACAAAAGGCAGCAATTTGTGTACAAATCAAAACACTGAGTGTAAATAGCTGCAATGCCAGGCAATAGTAAAATAGAAGACAAAGAATAGGAAGAAAATTACAAAGTATCAAAGTATCAAGATCTGAAAATAGAAGTTCATGGATTATGGCATAAATTAGCAATGGTGGTCCCAGTGGTTTTTGGCCAACTGGATGCCATACCAAAAAGTTTAGAACAACACTGTGTATTGACAAAATTTCCATCTTTCAATTACAAAAGGTCACACACACTGCATGAATCCACACATATAATACATTATGATATCTTAGGTTCCTGGGAAGAACTTGATGCTTATGAAGGCCAAAACTAGCTAAAGAACTGGCAGCTGTGATTTCACATTGTATATACATCTTCATTCTCCCTCTCCCCCTCATTATCATATTACAACCCACTTTCTGAGAACCCCCAAATATAAGCCCCATACCATAAAAAAAATGTTGTTTCTATTAATTTTCCTTTTATTTTGATAAATTACATCATCCTGAGCAGGGAGGAAGGTTGACAGGAATTATCAGTGCAGCTTAATGATTAGGACGTCGTCATCTTTAGTGATGGCCTAAGGCTGTTTCATCCATAGCAATGCTTTTCAAACTTGGCAACTTTAAAATGTGTGGATTGGCGACTCCTAGCATTCTGCAGCCAGCATGCTGTGCACTCATTTTAAAGATTACTATAGAGTATTTTTTACAATAAATTGTTGATATTTCCCATCTCTCCTTCGGTATTTTCTTCCACTCCCTTCCCCAGCAATAGTTAAATGTATCTTCTTTAAATTTCCAAGGATGATGCTTCCGACATCTAAGTAGCATCACATGAAATGGACCATCTACAAAAATGTAGGACATAATAAATGCATTTCTCTTTAAAACATGGCAAAACTCATTATTTTCACTGAGAGAATCATGATTGTCCTCTGGAAAATTTAAACACAAACAAAACGATAGTACCCTCAATTATATATAATCTGAATCTGAAAATACTGTGATTTAATGAGGTGACGGTTAAGTTTGGCCATATGACAGAAAACCAACATTAATCTAACACTAAAATTGATAAATAGAGCTGATTAACTGGACACGGGTCTAGATTCTGACCTTATCCAGTTAATCAGCTCCAGTTACTCATTGCTGTCTGGGGAATTCTGGAAGTTCAGTTCCAGACATTTCAAAGTTGCTGGGGTTGAGAAACACGGAGGTAGACTCCCACATTCTGGAAGCTGAAAATTATTTACTGTACGTTCATTTTGATCCCATCGTCAGTGGGAGCAGTTTTTTTAATTACACAAAAATCATCATAATAGATATAACACACACCCAAAAAATAAATCTAAATTCTTCTTTTGACTTCATACAGTATATCAAGAAATCATATGCTCTGAATTAATGTATCATTCCATTTTTTAAATTGTTGCAATTAAAATCTAAAAAGGTTTTCATTCTAAAATTAAGATTCATAAAACTGCTTTTTACAGTATGATTCAAATATAAGAGTAACTGTAAGGAGGAAATTAAGTTTAAAAACCACACAGAGCTGTGGTACTTTTAAAAACATAATGCATATTTCCATCAGCTTCCATTTGTCAGAAACTAAATTTAAGTTTGTGAGACAGGAAGCAACTTTTCTAAAGGTTTCCTGCCTCTAACCCATTGTATCTCGTGACGTTTAACATTCCTACAGAATATAAACTGTATTTCTTTTGTTTTTAAACTCTTTTATTAAAATGTTCCATGCGGTTACTAACTGCACCACCATTTATGTAAGGTTCACATCATTTCAATTAAAGCATTTCCCCAGGTTCAGATATTTCCCTATAGTATTCAGATTATTTTGGTTGCAAACCCGTTTCTATGAGATATGGTCAGTGTTTCTCAACCTTGGCAAGTTTAAAATGGGTGGACTTTAACTCCCAGAAGCCAGCCATAGCTGGCTGGGACACTCTGGGAATTGAAGCACACCCATCTTAAATTTGCCAAGGTCAAGAAACATTAAGCTATGCCAAGTGGTATTGTACTACAGATATTTAACAAATGCTTGAAGTTATAACGGCAATGAAAAAAAGGACTGGTCCACACACTTATGATCATTGCAGCAACTGCACAGTCATGTGTTCAAGATTCGGGCACTTGACAACTAGCATGTATTTGTGATGGTTAGAAGTGTCCTGGGGTCATATGATTGCCATATGCAACCTTCCCAGAAGACAATATGGGAAGCTGGATATTCTTAAAAATTTCCTGATTCATTTAAGTGATTACATCATGACAGAAAAGATTGTAAAATTAGGCATAACTCACATAACCATCTTGTTAGTAATGGAAATTCTAGTTCCAAATGTGGTCCTAAGTCAAGAAGCCATGGTGGCATAGTGATTAGAATACAGTACTGCAGGCTAACTCTTCCCACTGCCAAGAGTTCGATCCTGACCGACTCAAGATTGACTCAGCCTTCCATCCTTCTGAGATCGATAAAATGAGGACCCAGATTGTTGGGGGCAATAGGCCGACTCTGTAAACTGCTCAGAGAGGTCTGTAAAGCATTATAAAATGGTGTATAAGTCTTATAAGTTATTGCTAAAGACCACCTGTAATCAAAAGATAGATGGATGTGTGTGTGTGTGTGTGTGTGTGTGATAAAAGGCAGAATAACTGGAAAACTGTTCTGCACTCAGCTACCCCAATACTTTTGCCTGACCTCTATTAAGTAAATTACTCCGCTCAATTCTTTCACATCAGTCAGAATGACAAACTACACTCACTTGTAGTCAGAGGTGGAGGAGCGGATCCTCTTTCCGCAGGGCCAGCCTGTGACAAGGGGGCTGGACTCAGACATACACTCAACTTCTTACAAAAATCATACTGGTAGCTCTCTTCAGTTGATCAAGAGGAAAATGTGTCTGCTCTGGATTTTAAGGCAGAAAAGCAAAGGTGGTGGTGGGGGGGAATTCAAAGGCCCTGGAGATAAAGAGAAGCGGGTGCCAAGGCAACCCTGTGGGAAGCTATCATCTCCACCATGCAAAACCTCTTTGCAGAACCATTGGGGAAGGGGAGCCTGGCCTTCTTCACCCAGCTCCAGGCAGCGTAGCTTTACCAGAGCTTAGCCAGCCTGAAGACAATGCAGAGTGGGTGCTGCCATTGTGAGGCGGGTGGGCTGGTGAGACTTATATGGTATGTATATATGAAGAAAGACGCCCTGCTCACCACTGCTTCCTATGAGTGGCCTCCATTGAAACCATAAATGCAGGCGACGAATGGGGAGCAGGCGATGTGAGGCAGTGGGATAGGTGGAGGAGGCAGTGGTGGCCAGGTAATCTGGGGGGCGGGGTATGGGAACCGAAGAAAGCCCCTCCAGCGAGGGATGCGGTTGATGCAGAGTGTTGGCAGAGGTCTTTTGCCATCACTCCCCCCTGGCTCAGAAACGGCATAGGGAGATTGGTAAAGGGACCGAGGCTCCTCTACTCATCCTCCTAGCAGTCCAGATCAGGAGAGAAGTCAAAGGGAAGAGGCAGGGGTAGGTCGCCGAGAGGGGACTGGTCTGGCTGTGGGGACGCTGAGGTATGTAGGTCCGGGGCACGTGGGGCGGCTCCACCACCACCTGCCTTTCCTCACCTTGTGGCAGCGGCACTGGTGCTGCACGGCCTCCTGACCCATTGCAGCCTTGAGCAACCAGACAGTCGGATGGAGTGGGCGGGGTCTAAACCAAGGGTTATTTTTAGGGTAGGGCTTATATTAAACGCACACATAAAAATCATGATAGGGCTTATTTTCAGGATAGGTCTTATTTTTGGGGAAACACGATATACTGATGTGGCATATCACTATTTAGTTCACTATGTATGTTAACACTGGCCATGCTCAATTTAAAACAGCTTTTAAGATAAAGTGCATTTTACGAAGCATTTTACTTAGTTTTATTCAGTTGTTAATATATTCAAGTATATGCAGCTACAATCCTAAATATTAATAACAATTAATATTCCTTATTAGGTTTTATAAGTCTGTGATTATTTTCATATTGCAGAAACAAATATAACTCCAGTAATTCAAAACTCCCTGAAATAGATCTAAAACATTTTGCATTTTTATTATTTTGAAAGTGTAAAAAAAAGACTCTCTCAGTTCTTGAAAAAAGCACCTAATTATAGTAAGGTGGCATTTACTAAAACTTTCAAAGCAGTTTAAATCATAAGCATTAGTTATATAATATGTCATGATGTTTTTTAATATATGTAATCTCAGTTTTTGTAACTGAATTTTTATTTCTTTTTGTAGAATATAAATTCTTAGTAAAAAGCATCATTGGATTACACTTCTTTGCTAACAAGGAAAACAAACAGCATTAAACTTAATTTCCAATTGTGTACATATTTATTAAGAAGCCAATCTGAAAGTATTCAAAGAATAATTAAACTGTACTCAGAATTATAACATGCTTTATGCTAACAGTTGATAGTAGTAAAATATAAATAAATACATACATAAAGTACTATAAGTAAGTAAGTAAATAAATAAAGATAGGACTACCACATTGTATGGAACATGTCTATCAACTTGAATAGTAGATGAAAAGATGAAAGTTGGAATGTATTTTGTCCAAATTACACATATTGCTGAGAATGTGAATGTGAAAATAGTTGTTTTCATACCTTTCATTCCAAAAGTGGAACATAATTTTCATTTCATACCAGAAGACAGTATGAAGCAATACAGTTTATCAAAGCAGGAAAAGGCATGAAGAGAAAAGGAGATTCCACCTGTATGACTCAAAGGGGATGAGTGCACCCAAAAAATGTCAATGTCTGCTATAAACACGTTTATCTCTCAGAAAATATTAATCTGAATTAAGGCTTTTGTTGACTTGATAAGGTAGAAAGATAACATATTATACTCAATTACCAAGCTCTTTTGCATGATCATATACGCACATAGGCAGTTGCAATGCATGGGGAAATTTTTATGAACTGCGGGCAATCTTCGTCCAAATAAGAGATCCATTTACCGGTAATTGTTTACATATGAGAGTAGTTTGTATATAAATGAGAGAATAGCTGTTGCACACAGATGTTTTGCAGCAATTCTTCTCAGCCCCAAGGAGCTTGAAAATTCTGTCTCTCTTTCTTTGTCTCTCTCTCCCTCCCCCTCTCCTTCTTTCTCTCCCCCTCTCCCTCTCCCTGTCTCTCTCCCTCTCCCTTTCTCTCTCTCTCTCTCTCTATCTTCTGGAGGCAGGGGAGGTGAAAAACGGGCTGCTTTCGCCCATTTTCTTGTCTCCTTTCACCCCCCCCACCTCCAGATGTATTCTGCAGGCCAAAACCAGGCAAAAACGGCTTGTTTTGTGGCCAAAAATGGCCCATCTTCACCCATTTTTTTTTGCTTCCTTTCACCCACCCCTTCTGCGGGCCCTCCCCTGCCCACCCGTGCCCTTTGGCCTTACCTTTGCAACAGCAACGTGTGGTGAGCGTTGAACCACTGAAATGAGCAAAAGTGGGAAGTGCAGCTGGACAGTGAAAGATAACAGGGCCCCCTCAGCCAGTAAAAGCCAGCTATGCAGGAAGTGGCTGGGAGGAGAGGGGCGAGGGGTGGGATGAGGGGTGGGGCTTAACCCCACCACTCCGCGAGCCGGATAAATTGGGTCGGTGGGCTGCATCTGCCCCGCGGGCCGTATTTGAGGATGCATGCTGTAGATGCTTGTTGCTTCCTCACAACTACACAATTGATAGGGGGAAAACTTATACAACTGGATGTTGTATACAATTGCCTTTCTTCACTTAGCAAACAAACAGAATAAAACCTATCTCTATAGAGGACACAGACAGCGATGGCATGGGGACCTCAGCATTTAATTGCATAAAAAACTTTTTAACAAAATAAAATTATGAAAACATTTCCCCTCTGGGTAATCAAGATTTCTAGACATACAAATCACGATCTAGGGTGAAAAGAGACAGGGGAGGTTACCTGAATTGGAATTAAATTGAAATAAAACACACACATGTTTAGAAGTAAGTTATCCTAGTCAATTTCATACCCAGTAGAGCATTTGATGAAAAATGATTTTTCCAGCTTGGGCATAGTGGCAAAAATAGCACTAGCACTAGCACTAGCAGTAAGACTTATATACCATTTCATAATGATTTACAACCATCTAAGTGGTTTACAGAGTCAGCATATTGCCCTCAACAATCTGGGTCATTTTACCTCGGATGGAAGGCTAAGGCTAAGTCGATCTTGAGCTAGTGAAAATCAAACTCCTGGCAGTGGGCAGAGTTAGCCTGCAATACTGTATTCTAATCACTGTGCCACCATGGAAAGTCCCCAAGAAGTTAAAATGAACTGGATGAAATTAATCTGGACACATGGAAAGTATGTCATAATCACGAGTTGTATCTTTTTTTTTTTTTTCTATTTGTGTTCTATGCAGGGAAGCACAAAAGCAGCAGATTACTGTGTTTTCCCGAAAATAAGACCCAGTCTTATTTTCTTTTGGGCCCCAAAATAAGCACCAGATCTTATTTTCGGAGGATGTCTTACCCTCTTACCTTAGGACCTCCGCAGCTAGGCCTCCCATGCGCCAACACCTGTGGTGCTGCTGCCTGACTTCTGTGGCCACTTGCAGCCAGACACCGCATGACTTGTTATGCTGGTGCCGATGCTCGCAGCAGGAGGCAGTGTGGTGTGTTGTTCTGTTGTGCAAGTGAGTGGTGGCACCAGTGCAATGAACCTTGAGGTGTCATGCTGCAAGCGGCGGCACTGGCACAACGTGCCATGCGGTGTCCTGCTGTGAGCAGCAGCATCAGCCCAATGTGCCACATGTGGCAGCACAGGCACAACGCACCATCCTGCCCTGAGCGGCAGCACTGGCACGATGAACCACTGCAAAAAAACTCAGGCAGCGGCACGAGAGGTGTTGGAGCATGGGAGGCCTGGCTGCGGTGGTTCTAAGGTAAGTGGGTGTAGGGTGTGTGGGACAGCTCCACCCCCCACCCCAGCTTGATTTGTACACACGCTTCGTGTAACCAGATGGTGGGCAGGGCTTAACTAGGGCTTATTTTGGGGGGTGTGGCTTATAAAATGCAGGCATGAAAATCGGGCTAGGGCTTGTTTTCGGGGTAAGTCATATTTTGGGGGAAACACGGTGTATCTGATGCGATATGATATCCAGGTAAAAGTACAAAATATGCTAATTCCTCCTGGCTGCCCCCACACCTTTCCCACGCCCACCCAGCATGGCCCAAACTCATAGCTGGTCTGTCCCCATGCTCCAAGGTTGGCCCAATCGCTGCCGTGCTTCGAAGCTGTGCACCTCCACCCCATCCATAGGCCACACCTCGCTGTTTGTACCGAATGTCACTGTAAAATATCCTCCGAAAATAAGCCCTGGTGCTTTATTTATTTTGGAGCCCAAAAAATATAAGACCGGGTCTTATTTTTGGGAAAACACGGGTATGTTCTATTGAGATTTATTTTATTTGTAAAACAAAGTTAAAACAGAAAATGATTCAAACACATTCAAACAAGTATTACAACACTAGTTGATGTTGCACCAAAAGCCCCAGGCATTTTGAAAGTAAAGCAGTGACTTTTGGGAAAAATAAATTGATTTAAATGACTGTTTCTTACTTAACAGAGCATCTGGAAGGCATACCACTGTTTTGGAATTAGGAGTGCACACCAACGCTCCTTTTCCCTTATTAATTCAGACAACTGCAAAAATGTTTCAGAACAGCATTAAAATCTGTTGTTTTGCTTTTGCAAACAAGCAAAAAAAAAACCCACCACAAACCAGACTTTTCCCCTATACCTCTTGGGAGTTTATTTTAATTGGTTATGCATCTCCAAAGAGTCAGTATTCTTCTTTCATCATAATGAAACTGCTTGTAATTAATATTGATTTCTCATAGCAAAATCATGTGAATTACAGAGACAGTTAATAACTAATCCAAGATTTAATATTAAAATATTATTGTTAAATGTACAAAAATATATCATATAATTCAGTACAGAAAATTGTATAAATAAATTGTGGGTATAAATTGTATAAATACCCACATATGTAAACATACATAACTATCTTCCTCATGACTAATGTATTGCTATTCTCCATTCCCTTTTCTAACTTTAAAAAATACCATTCTATTTTACTTTAGTATTGTATCAAATCTATAATTTAAAAATCAACTACTATTTATCTAAAAGAGAAAAAAAGAAATGTAGATTACCGAGGATAATTTGGAACCATAATAGGATTGGTAATATTGTGTTGAGTTTACCTAACATTTTTTTTGCATTGATACATTCTTTTTTACACTAATGCGGCAGCTTTCATGCAAGCAAAGTCAATTTACTGCACTAACTGCAAGTAATCCTCTGAAGAGAGCCAGGTTGAAGTAGTGATTAATAAAGAAATCAGGCTAGAAACCAGGCTGAGTTCTCGACCCATTTTAGGCACAAAGCTAGGTAGGTAACCTTGGGCCAGTCACTCTTTCAACCCTAGAAACCAGGTAATGGGAAGCTACTTGTGGAAATCTTGCCAAGAAAACTGCAGAAACTAGTCCAAGAAGTTGCCAGGAGTCAATACTGATTCAAAAGGGCCTGGTGGCTCAGCAGACTAAAAGCATTGTGGTTAACACCAGCTGTCTGCAATTACTGTAAGTTTGAATCTCACCAGACTCAAGGTTGACTCAGCCTTTCATCCTTTCTAAGGTAGGTAAAATGAGGACCCAGTTTGTGGGGGCAATAAGCTGACTTTGTATAAATATACAAAAGTATGAAGGCTATTGCTTAACGCATTGTAAGCCACCCTGAGTCTCCGGAGAAGGGCGGCATATAAATAAAAAAGTAAAAACAAAAAAACCTCAACCTCTGAAAGACAATTAAATTTAATGACATTAATTTAAATTAAATCAAATTTAGTTTTTTGTCTTGGCAGTGCTTATATTCTGAGATAGGGCAAGTCCCTGAAAAACTTGTGCACATCTTTCTGAAGAAAAGGTCTACTAGAAAATTTAGCAATCTATAGAAACAATTCTCCATCCCTCTTACCTACTATGGCCAACTTATGCTTGGTTGTTTCACATACTGGTATTACAAGTGTAAAAATCTAATGTAGCCCAGTATTTCATATTCCTATTGCAGTCTCCCAGTAGTTTTCAAGGAGCATGACTGCACATTTTATCTCCAGAATAGCAAACAAACAAATAAACAAACTCATATATCCACTCTTGTTCCATTAAATGATCTTGTATAGTGGAGAGGGATTCTTGATTTTATTTTATTTTATTTTTTATTTTATTTCCAATTTATATACCGCCCTTCTCCCTGAGGACTCAGGGCGGTGTACAGCCAGAATTAAGAACATGAAATACAAATATTAAAAAACAATTAAAATATATATAAATTTGGCCCAAAAATTAAAAATCACAAACCCATTAAAACATTTAAAAATTTCTTCTTAAGCCAGCCCGGCTTGCTGGAAAAAGTGGGTTTTAAGGGCACGGCGGAAGGCACTGAGGTCTTGGATTCTCCTTATCTCTGGGGGCAACTGATTCCAGAGGGTAGGTGCCCCCACAGAGAAGGCCCTCCCCCTGGGGGTCACCAGCCTACATTGTTTGGCTGATGGCACCCTGAGGAGGCCCTCTGTGGGAGCGCACGGGTCGATGGGAGGTCGTCGGTAGCAGCAGGCGGTCTCGGAGATAGCTAGGCCCTATGCCATGGAGCACTTTAAAGGTGATGACCAACACCTTGAAGCGCACCCGGAAGACCACTGGGAGCCAGTGCAGCTCGCGCAGGAGTGGTTCATCCTGTGTGACCAAAGCTTATGTTTGTAACATTATTTCTAGAATCAACAAAGAATCTTGTGTAAGTATGTCAGAAATTGGTTCCAGAAGTAGTATTTTAAAGCTCTATGCAGGCTCTGAAGACTATAACTGCACTTTCCCTGCTGATCACTTATCACCATAGCAATGGGGATTTGATAGCTATTTCATAAGTCAGTGATTCTTGAACTGTTTGACCAAATCCCCCCTTTTCTGGTTTTAAATAATATAATTATCTCCATTAAAAAACAACACTGTTGTTTTACAGGAGTGGCATTCACAAACTGAATCTTGGACTCCCAAACAATCAATTACAAAATTGCTCTATTATCTCCAGAATATCCTCCAATTACATTTTGGGGCTAACTATCCTATCCTTTAAGACTCACTGATCTGTTTGGACAGCAGAAAAAGAGCATTAAGATTGCTGGGCATGTGGGTGAAGGTTACCACCCATTCCACCCAGTTTGTCAGTTTCTTTCATGTCAGAAAGAAAGAATAGTTGTACACTATGAAGTGCATAACTTTGGGAAAGCAGAATCACTTTACTATTTGTCAATGCTATATTAGCATGTGAGGATTATTTATTGCTTTATGCATCCACTAGCTCTGTGGAATTATTTTTGAGGAAAGATGTACAGTCTCCTACTGTACATTTTCTGTTTATTCATAGGTTATGTCTATCCTTATTTTTCGCAAAGAATGTTCCTAATTCCCTACCATGCTTTTTGAACTTTCAGAGGTTTTTACACTACGGTTTTAAAATTCAAGAGTTCGGATCCACTATACCCCGCAGGTGTATTTGAAAGAATACACTTTTCCTTTGAACTCAGCGCACCCAAATCCAACCAGTCTGATTTATATCTTGAAACCTTAACGCCACTGACTTCAGTAAGATTTAGTCAGTTAGACTGCTGAGGTGATTGTCCTGCCAAACTAATAAACCATTGCAGGCATGCTTCCGGGAACACAAACATGAGCAAAAATCTTGATTTAATCAGAACAGAGCTGGAAGGGACCTTGGAGGTCTTCTAGTCCAATCTCCCTGCTCAAGCAGGAGGCCCTATACCACCATTTTAGACAGGTGGCTGCCCAGTCTTTTCTTAAAAACCTCCAACGATGAAGCTGTGGGAAGCTCCCCGCCTCTAGAAGAATGAAATATTTTAGGGAATATTAAAAGAGGCAGAATATTATATTTCCCCAAAGGAGAAATGGAGAAACATGCTCTTAGAGGTAGAAAGCAGTCCCCAGTCTTTCTTAATAGCCGACAGCAGATGCCCATTAAGAAATCCTGGGCCAGCCCACAAACAAAACACCTTCACCTCCAGCGATGGAATTAAAATTTACATCCTTCCCCCAGCCAGATTCTAAGGACAGGACGTGACCTTTTAGGGCATAATAGGATTAACCCACCACCATTAGAATAGCAGAAGACATCAGGCGCCCTTCATTGCACAATCCCTGCAGCATTTTCAGCTGTACATAAAAATCCTTGAACTCCTCAAGCTAATTTGTCAGCTGTCCCCAAACTGCACGCTGTGGTTCTTCTGCTCATCAGTAAACTTTCTTTTTTAGTCAGCCTCCATTTTATTTCCAGCGTCTTCTTCCCAGTTTGGAACTGAACCAGATGGATTTTCCTTCCTACGAAGCTTTTTTAAAAAAGACTTAAAACTTAGCCTACAAAACTGCAGAATTAGCCACGCCTCGAGCACCTCTTCCCCATCCAGCGACACACACTCCGCGCGAAGCCACTAGCTCAATTATAAAACACGAGCCTATCAACTATAAAACGAAGTTAAGGGAGCCGTAACTGGCTTGGATAGCGTTAAACCCGCTCCGGTCGCCTACCTACGGCGCGTCTCGGAGCGTCCGCGCCGCCTCCCGCATTCGCTTCTGCAGCGGCCACAGAGCGGTACAAGCGCGACAGCCTTCAAGGCGCGCGTGGAAGATTAAACCCGAGAAAGCAAACTGAGCTGAGTGGCGCGCACCTCCCGGCACTTGGGGGTTTTCTTTTCCACACCCGCTCGAGTCAGAGGCATCGGAAAGGGCGGGCTCGCGAATATGCGCCTCCTCCCCACGAAGCTTGGGGGCCTTTTGTCGTGGGGAAAAAAAAAAGAAGAAGAAAAGGCAGCAAGCGAAGCTTCGGTTCAGCCAATCGGCGGCATTGTTTCTCAGAAGTTATCAACGGGGGAGTTTACTTCGGTGGCTCCCAAGGTAAGCATGCGCGAGGGCCCCGTTCAGCCTGTGGGCGGCTAAAGTGTACGGTTCGCACGCGACTCCGTTAGGCTGCTTAGTCGGGATAGGTAGCGGGTTTCCTTAAGCCAAAGGTCTTCAAACTTGGCAGCTTTAAGACTTGTGGACTTCAACTCCCAGAATTCTCCAGCCAGCTATGCTGGCTGGAGAATTCTGGGAGTTGAAGTCCATAAGTCTTAAAGCTGCCAAGTTTGGGGACACCTGCCTTAAGCAAACCTTGACTGTACGGTGTGGCGTGGACGTGTATAGCTGGCAAAAGTTAAAATTTAAGACGAGGTATCGTAGTGGTCTGCAGGGATCTGAAAGCCTCTTTAGGTGCAGAAGAGAGCAGATGCGTTTTCCTCTGGATCAAAAGGAAGAATTGAGAGTCAGAGTTGAAATGTGTGGGTCAATCTGGATGAATATTGAGGGGAATCTCCTGACACTAAAAGTTCCCAAGTAGAGGAACAGACTGCCTAGACCAGTGGGGAACTCCCTCTCCCTTAAGATTTTCAAACAGTGATGATTGCCACCTGCTGTTAGGAATGGACAATGGAGTATCCTTGCACTGAACACTTAATTTATATAGTTCCAATCATGGAAGCAAATACAGTGTAGACAGCACCCTTCGGCCTGAGATCCCTACTGATTGTCATAACTCATTTTTAAACGGAATCAGATGCTATATTTGCTTTATCTCTACAAATGTTGAAAATCTACAGTCCCCTATGCAGAAGT